GATTCATATTTATTTGCTAAGAAAACATTAAGTCCTTTCCACATACATGTGGTTTTATGAGGATTTTCAGCCCAAGAGAGCCAGTGCAAATGGGATTCAGCTGACTGTGGTGGCAATTTGTTTGTAAATAAATTTTCCATGTACTCACTTTTCTTCTATAAGCAGGAATACCTTTCTTTTTCCATCACTGCTCTTGTGAGCCACCTTACTCATCTCCTGTATGAATACTGTACCGCCCTTTCTGTCCACTCCCTGTAAAGCTTTCTTTGGGCTTCTCTTTGCCAGGTCTTTCCCAACCCCTTCCCTCTATCTTCTGCAGGGTGCTGAAGGGGCAGGGGATGATGCTGGCTTTGATGCTGACTGTTTGCAGGGATGCTCCAGGCATTGCTCAGAATTTATGGGGAATGCAGAGTCAAGCAATACCCATGATTAGTCAAAATCGTTATTTCTTAAACTGCATTTCTTTGCTTTATCAACAGAAGGGTTCATCTGTTGTGCATTTGCTTGGTCTCTTGGCTAACCTGGGGATTTGGAGAGTGGGCTGTGTGCCGCCTGCTCAGCTCTTACCCTGTCCTCCTCAGCGCTGGGGTGTGCTGTATGGACAAGAGATAGACATAAGGATAGAGGAAGAACAGGGACTCCTTTCCTAGTCTCCTGGTTGACCTCTCAGAGATATGAAAGCCCCCAACACACTGTGCCATGACCCACCACCCCTCAGCCCAATGGCTGATCCCAGTGTGCACATGAATTTCCACTCTTCATGCTCAACCCTGCCAAAGCAAAATTCCTGAAGCAGAATAAAATATGTGGAAGACTTTCAAACCCAGAGATTATTGAACTGTCCCTCTTACTGAATGGCAGTCAATGCTATGTTCTTTGCAAAGTCTCTAGTATAATGTTTAATTCAGTAACTACAACTGGAAAGTCTTTCCAATTATTTTAAACTGCCAGAGAAGTTTTAATGTGCCTCAGATTTTGTGTTGGTGTGCCACAGAGTTAAGTGCCATACATTTTTCAGAGAACTTCACAATTTACCCTTGTATAAAAAGGGGGGAAATGGGAAAGAATCTCAAAGGATGTACTCGTCCCTTGAACCTCACCATCATTTGTGGCCTTGCAGACACCTTTTCCTGCATTTTGAAATTGTTTGTCTCCCTCTGTGCAGGGCGAGAGATCCATGTGAAGAGCCAAAATCTTTAATTCCTGTGCAGAGCCTCAACTGAGGGTAGGATTGTGAGCAGAACTTCCCTGGCAGTCACCCAGCCATGCATCGTAGGGTGGTGTTCACTCTCCAGATGTGTCCAAGCCTCCACAACCAAGGATGTAAAAGATTGAGAAGGCCCAAATATCTTCTCATTTCTTTACTGTGCCAAAGCCATGGAGCCTCTGTCTCTGCCCACTGGCTGCTGTTCATCCCAAACCCACTGAGGCAGCTGCCCATCCCCACCAAAACCTGCCAGCATGGCACTACCCCTGGGTGCGAGGGGACGGAGGATGTAGATTTGCTGCCTTGATTAACGTTACTCCAACTACGTGAGCATTAGGAAGTGGCAGAAGCTAACTCTTAGCATCTTTGCACCTTTTTTGCCTCTTTTTTTCCTTCATTTTTTGCTTTATTCCTTCTCCCTGAGCTCAGTGGCACGTGAGCACGTACATCCCTGCACCAGGCGGAGGGGGAGAAGAGGCAGGGAGGACGTCTCATAAATCCAGTTCTGCTCTATTAAGATTCATTCTGTTACAAGGATGGCTTTTTCTATTGAAACGCTTTGTGAAAGCCTTGCCTAATGATCTGTTAGCTGGGGAAAGGTTAGATTCCTGGAAGATTTTCTGTGTTTGATGAAGAAAAAACAGTGCAATTATCCAGAATTCAAAGTAAGTTTTAGCCAGCTGTTAATAATACTGTGATTCTTCATGTTCTCATTACTCAGAAGTAATGTGGCCATCCCTAGTCATGGCAGTAAAATATTTATAGCATTTTCTTTTGGCCCTGTTTGCACTTATGGAGGGCTGGACATCCCTCGAGGCCTTCTAAATATGCTGCTTAGTGTGCTTTAGCCCCCCGTGACAATACTTTTCTCATCTAACCATATCTGTCTGCAACAGAGACATCCAGTTTAAGGAGGTTACCTCAGGAGGGGTCTGGCATGCCCTAAAACTGCTAATGGCTGAGCAAACCAGCCATCAAGGCTCTGCTAGAGTCACTGGAGAGACTGGTGCTTCCAGACTCACACCATCCCAAGACAGCTGCCAAGGATGAAGAAGACAAATTGGCTTGATACCTGACCAGATAGCTCAGATAAGGCTGGATGGATCTGATCCCAAGAGTGTCCATATTAGCAGTCTGATTTGATGCAAAGATAGGTTTATTTGCAGTATTCTGCTCTTTGCAGCTTTGTTGCAGTCTGCAGGTCAGTTTGTGTGCTGAGAGACCACTAAAACCTGCAAGAGCAAGCCCCAGACATCTGTGTGTTTCTCATAGATCTCTCCCCTGATCACTGAGGTTTCCAACTTGGGAAGTCGTGGCAGAACGTGAAATACATGTGGCATCTCTGTGTCCAGGCGCACGGAAACATAATAAATGTCATGGGAAAAATATAATTTCACAGTGGCAGGCCCTGCACTGGGATAAACAGACGGCTTGTTTCCTCTGGTGGATGCATGGAAAATCAATTCCCAGTCCTCTGCAGGGGCTCCTAAACGTGAACCAAATCCTCTCCTGTAGTACTTAAGAACTACAACTGTTTTGTACCAGCAAAAAGGTTTCATTTATAGCAGGGGAACTGCACATAACACCTTTTAGCTATCTTCATGCTGTCATTTACATGTCCATTTTATCCTCTTTATAAGAGTCTGCTTTCAAGTGCCGCTTGGAGGTCTGAAGTAAATGAGTATTAAGTAACTGTATCTGTCTCTAATTCACAAAACATCCAGAAAAACAGCTAATGTGCCTGAACCAGTGGGATGAACACATTAGATTAATCTAATTATGCTACTTTTCACTCAAACAACCAGTAGCGTTCAAAAAAAGGTTGTGAAAGGGATTAGGAATTTCTTTTCCACGTTTTTCCTTTCTCCTTCTTCTTTCCATGACTTTGCTGTGTTCCATTAAACGTTAGCTATTTGGTTAGCTTATTTCCTTGACCTTCCTTAAAACATTGCTTCTGAAAGAAGTTTATTCTTCTCAGACCTGGCTCTGTATTCACCGAGGCTTTCAGTGACCAGGAAAGGCAACAGAATAAATGCAGATGTACAGGCTGTGAGCAGCTTATCTCGACCAGAGTGAGCAGCTCCCAGCTGTTACCATCTCACTCGTGCAGGCACAGGCAGTCTCAGAGCATCGCCCCTGTGCTTTGAGCAATTCTCCGAGCATGTAGTCACCTCCTCTCCACCCCTTTTAGCTCCCTTGGCCATGGTGGTGCATGCTAGCACCTTAGCGCCATAGCAAGTCTGATGTATGTATCCTCCACTCCTTTATATTTCCTTTATTGGAAATGTGTAAAGACACCCGGAGCAGACTGCCTGGACCCTTCAGTCTAACAGCAAATTACTGGTAGCTGCTCTCAGTGTGTGTATTTCTTACTGTGGTTCAGTCTAGATCAGGGTTACTTCGCTTGCCAGAGAGAACGTCGTGTGCAATTGTGCCAAAAGCCTTAAAAAACATCAAGGTATAAGACCTAAATGGCTGCTTTACTACCCGCAAACCCTGCTTTCCTGTCAGTAGATTGCTGCAGTGTGATTTGTTCTTGACGCATTCCTGTGGTGGTTGATCATCTCCTTATATTTTGTAAGTGCTGACAAGACGCTTGATTATTTGTCCAAGTGTTTTTCTGGGACCTGAAGCCGGTCTGCCTCTTCTGTAATTCCTCAGTGCCTCCTTCCCCTCTTCTGAAAGCAGAGCCCTTGGTCTGCCCTCCCTAGCCCCTTGGAACCTCCCCTTCCCTGGTGGCTCCTCACAGTTAAGTGGTTGCATCTCCGAGGCTGCTTCAGGAAGCTTGTCGAGTGTGCTGGGATGCAGTTCAACAGGCAGGGATGGCTGAAAGCACCACAGTTATCTAATCAACCTCTAACCAGACCTCCTCTCGCTGTTATGTGAGTTCGTATCCTGCTAACACTGGCATTAGCTTCATCAGGCATTGGGTTGCTTTTGAGTTTTTAGAGAAGATCAAAGAAAAAAAAAAAAAAGTCATTAAGTGTTTTGGCTCTCCCAGCAGTGCCCTGTGCTAATGTCACTCCTCCCCAAATAGTGGGTCAGCTCTTTCTGTGGTCTCTACCTCTGCCGCTGCCTGGTGCTCCATTGCTCATCAAGGTCACAGAACAGTGGGGGAGATGCCAGCAGGTAAGACATGAATCCTGCAAAGACCCCAGGAGGGCCACCCCAGCAGCAGGGCTTGGCCAGGCAGGGAGCCCCCCTCTATCCCCAAAATCAAGCGGTGGTACCCAGCTCCTCTCTGTGTGCAGAGCAGAGGTCAGCCGGGTATGTGGTGCACACCTTGGAGGATCTACTTGATTACTGCTGGGGCTTGGTGGCTGCACAGGGGCTGTGGGAGCAGGGAGCAGGCTGTGGTGACGTGCAGAAGAGGTGCCCGAGAGCTGGCAGTCCTGGGGTGGTGATTTCCTCCTCTGCTCCCCAGGCACTGCAGGGATCTCCTTTGAAAAAAATGCAAGGCAGGATAAGCACAGGAAAGGCTGAGCTTTCCTTGCCAAGAGCAGATGAAAAGGGATGTTATAAGGTCACTTGTCTCTGGTAACATGGCCCCTAGCACTGACACAGTGGTGGAGGGCATCCAAGTTTCATGCTGGAAGTAGATGAGCCCCCACCTGGAATCCTATCCTGGTTTCAAAGTTCAGGTGCATTTCTACGGTTACAGATGTCAAGGGGATGGCATTTGACCCTGGCTCATCCTACACAGAAGGCAAGGTTTGGTGGACAGCAGGATCATTTGAACCTTCCTGGAACTGGCTTTCATTTGAACTACAACCTGTTTTTTGTTTCTTCCCAGCCAGGTCTCTAGACAAACTCTATAACTTTGCTGACTGCTCTGGCCTTCACCTGATCTTTGCACTGAATGCTTTGCGCCGAAATACCAACAACTCCTGGAACAGCTCCAATGCCCTCAGCCTGCTGAAGTATAGCGCCAGCAAGAAGTACAACATCTCCTGGGAGCTGGGCAATGGTGAGTGTGGGAACAGGAGAGCCACGGGAATGGAGCTTGCTGTAGCAGAAAGGTATTCCCTTTTGGAAGAGGATATTTACAGATCCCTGGATGCTTTGCTTATGTAGTTTCAGAGGGATTTAAAGGCTCCTGCTATAAGGAAGCACCGTTTCTAAGATGGACCTAGCACAGGTTAGCCCCTTAGATGGACGTTTCCATCAGTTAGTGTTAAGCACACAAAATGTTTCTGCCCCAGCTGCTGGGCACAGCTGGTCCTGGGGTGGCCAAAACAGCAGCTGTATGGACTTGTATGGGGGCAGCAGTGGCAGGGGAAGTGGGTGACCCTATGGGCGACACCAAAATGCAGCTCCTCCAAAATCCAGCACACAGCAGAAGGGGTGCAAGAGGAGATGCTGGCAAAGGAGAGCAAGCTATGGCTCTCATCCACTCTTCAGAGGCTCCTGCTGGTCCGCAGGCAGGCAGACAGCTCTGCGGAGCTCAAGCTGTGCGACAGCATGTGAGCTGTGCATCTCTCTCCGGAAGCACAGATGAAGGAGCAGAGCTGGCAAGCCTTGCTTGTCTATTTTTATTTTCCCAGAGCCCAATAACTATCGGACCCTGATCGGCCGCTCGGTGAATGGCAGCCAGCTGGGGAAGGACTACATCCAACTGAGAAGCCTGCTGCAGCTTATCCGCACTTATTCCAGAGCAAACCTCTATGGGCCGAATGTTGGGAGGCCCAGAAAGAACGTCATCACTCTCCTGGAAGGGTAAGTGGTGTTGCTTTGATCAAGAAGAGATCAGAAACACCTCCTGAAACTGATGCCCTTTCCAGCAGGTAGACTTGATCTTTGGCTTCCCAATGTCCAACAGCTGCCAGGACAGCAAGGCTCCGTGTGGCTCAGTGACCACAGTACCAGGGCCTTGGGGACATGGTTGTCTGTGCTGCTAAACTTCTGCAGAGGTCTCTGGTTGGATTTTGGGCTGGGCTGATTAACATTCTCACAAGTATTCCCAGTGTTTCCCAAATATGGGCAGAGGTGTCCACCTTGTTGGGATGTGATGACAACACAATGGTATGGATGCAGGCTCCTGTACACCTATGGGCTGCAGGGCCAGGAAGTAGGTCCTGGCGTCCCTTACCAGAGTAGATTGTCTCAGAGTCCTCCTGGGCAATTTGCTTCCCATTTGGTGACTTCTCCCTGTGCTCTCTCCATCTGTGCAGAGGAAGAACCTCTAGCAACTTTCTTCACTGGCCAAGCTTTCTGTTCCCTCCTAGGAGAATTGGCATGTCTGTAGTTTGGGAAGGCCAGAGGTGGAGAAGGAATGGTGACAGTGAGGGACGCAGACACCTGGAGGTGACATTGGACAGCTACAGGAACCA